ATCTAGTGCCTTCTTGAGTCCTGGAACCACTCAAGGTGCTTTACAACATAATCAGTCATTCACCCTTTGACACCCTGGTGGTGATCAGCTACACTGTAGCCACAGCTACCCTGGGGCACAATGACAGAGGTGAGTCTGCTGTACACAGGTGCCACCAGTCCCTCCGACCACCACCAGCAGGTGAGGTGGGCTAAAAAGTGTCTTGCCTAAGGACACAACAGCAACAGACTGAGCGGGGCTCGAACCTGCAACCTTCCAATTATGAGGCAAACACTTAACTCCTTTGCAACCGTCGCAAATGCTGACATTTCCATCAAAGTAAAAATAAAAAACAACTTTATTTTCATTTAGTGTCATTTTTATAGAGCTAAAGTGTTTTTCAGTTTCTTTTTGGCTGTTCTTTAGTGAAACAAGGAAATAAAACAGTTAAGTTCTCCAAATAAATATCTTTATGCAACTTTCTGTCACAATTATGAATATTCTGCAAGAACAAAATGTTCCCTCTTACATTTTAAAGGTGTGGAACACTGAAAAATATTGTTTATTGTTCATTTTAATTATAATCAATCGTTTTCATGTGGGCTGAACGTGAAAACAGTTTTCTACACTTGTGATAGAAAATAAAAAATCCAGAGAGATCTACATCACACTGTCACTTAACATTCACGGACTCTCCCATCTTGACTCGCGACGTGGAAGGCTGTCGTTGCATTAGCGTCTGGGAAGGAGCAGAGAGCATCTTGTCTAGTAGAAGCTAACCATTAGCATTAGCGACTGCACCGTACTGCAGAACTCCTTCAGGCTTGTGTTACTCCTGGGGATAAAACATCAGTTTTGCAGAGCAGTCAGTGGGAGAGTCACGCTGCTGTTAGCCAATCAGAGTCAAGCTGTTCATATATCAGAAAGTAAGACTCCAAATCCTGTCATCTGAAGCTACTTTCTCCTCCAGCTGAATTATCTGTGCTATTACAGGCGCTACTGGGCTTTTTATCCCTAGAGTAGGACTTACAAGGCAATAATTTCTCCTAGAGACACTGCAAATGTATTAATTAAAAAAGTGTTACACACCTTTAATATCCTTCAATTTTAGGAAATGCATTATCTTAATAATAGTAAGTAAAATACATCTGCTGCAGCATTTTCACTATCAAAGTGCACACATTTGTCTCTAAATACAACCGTTCACATTGTTTTGTAAAATATCCAGGTTTAATGCATTAACTGTGCCCACCGTGACAACTGAAACACCCCCACTCCATGCCTGGAGGACAATGTTTCTGCTTTGTTATCTAAAATGCTATCAGTTTGAGGAAGATAAGAGAGGGTGGCAGATATTTAGGGAAACCTGAACAGACTAAAGCTTCATTGTTGCACTGCGCAGACAAGAAAATATCAAAGCACAGTATGTACGGATAACGAATACCACACCTGTGAATTATCATTTTCTCCAGCAGAAATAAGAGTCATCTTAAAAATCGCTACATGCTCACCGCTATGGTGCTGCACACAAAGAGGAGTCTGTTGCTTCGTGTCCTGGAAAAGAAACGCTATCCTGTGTCTGGGAGTTGAGGTGCATAATTTCAAACTTACTCCTCCTGCACTCTGAGTGACTTTGACTTACGGTGCACCAAACAGGTATAACATTCCAAATATTTGGAAAATTATAGGTTAAAATACAAAGAAAAGGATGTTTGATTACTATTTTTTGGATGAAACAAAACATGTGGTTGGAGTCATAGCGATACTCTAGCAAGATAAAAGCTAATTCCTGATACATTTCTACTTAAATCATAAAGATGTAATTTTTATGAAGTGAAGCTATCGAGCTGTTTTTGAACATTGGAACTTTATAGTGAAAATAAAAGCTACGTGGTGTTTTCCCTCTCTATCACTCTCTTAAGAACCAAGCAGCTCTCTTTACTCTGCCCTGCAAAAAAATATAAGCTCATTATAAGCTCATTTTTAGTGGAAATCTGAAACAGATCATAAATTATGATCATAATTTTTGCATATTTTTCTAACATCTTCACATAGTATTTGGTTTAGTATTTCAGTTTAATTCATGCTTTAATATGATACCATGAGCTAAAATATGTTCATCCAAGTGGCATGACCTTCTGAATAAAGGGTTAAAGCACATGCAGCTAGCTTAAAAACCCTTTCTAGAAAAGCACCACTAACCTTAAATATCTATACGTTTTTTTCCAAAGAAGTGAAATGTGAGAACGTAAAGGTTCTGTCTGAATTTATTATCAAAAATTCCCACTCAGTTGCCATGGTGTGCAAATGTAGCAATGCATCTTTTGTAGCATTTAGCATTTGTTAGCATGCTAAAAGTAGCTACTTTTATTTTTTTTTAACTCTGTATAAACAAGCATTGCCCATACTTCTTTGATATTGTGATACTATTTAAATGTGATTTGCATTTTTTCCCCTTTTGTTTTTAATTTTAATGCTTCAAGTTTGCAAAATGCTGCCAGGCTATAAGAGCTAACTCTACCAAGGAAATGGGCGTCAATCAAAGCTAAAAACCCAACTCTGCTCCAGTCATCGGGTAACACATGTGCTTTTGATTTCTGTGGTGTACTCTAAGTGCGATAAAAGGCAGGAGTTGTTCTGTCAACATTTTAAAAAAGATGAGGTGTGTGTGTGAGTGTGTGTGTGTGTGTGTGTGCGTGCGTGCGTGCGTGCGTGTGTGTGTGTGTGGAAAAAGCTAAGAGAGGGAACTGCCTGGCTTCATGTCCAATAAAGTGGCGTAATCGTGACAGCTACCCATTTGTTTTTTGTGAGATAAATCACAAGATGACAGACTGTAGCTCCAACTAATGCTTCAGGCTTGAAACCCCACCTCCCCAGTAGGTATACGGTGAAACCCTGATGTAAGATTTAAATGAAAATAACCAAAACTGTAATATTTCACCCAACTGACATAATTGTTTAATTTTAGGGTTTATCTGTTGTGTCTTTGTCATCTACATTATTCTCTTCCAACTAATCAAGGATAACTTCCTCTTCTCTCATCCACTCTATCCATTCCTTTCACACACAGCCAGTGGCTCCCCAGATGATGGTACAGTTCTCATAACAATTATTACTTCAAATACACAGTATCCCCTTCTGAGAAACTCCAGGGAGAGAGAAGCATTTCATTGTTTCTTCCCTGTCATCTTGCTGCCCTCGTACATTCACAACATTAGTTCAAAGCAACAATCGTTTATGGAACATAACAAGGTCCAACTACATGCTTGCATGTCGTCCTTCCAAGGACAGCTTGTTTGTACGCATGATGGTCGTGCACAAAGCTCACAATGAAGCCACGACTAAGGTTCAATGAAATAAAAAAGACGAGCAACAGATTTTTCATTTGTGCCTACAAAAGGGTGGGTTGTACCTCTTCTGCTCGTGCACAGAGCCAGCGCTTCTCAGAGCTCATCAGCACCACAAAGAACAAGCGGGAGAATGCAGCCTTGTTCTACAAAGGTTAACCTCGAGGGGACCTAACAACTTCAGACGTCTCATTTGGTGCTTCCACCAAACACTTGCCACGGAGGATCGAGGGTCTTTGGATTCCCCTGGTTTTAACCTTTAATATCTGAGGTCATGAACCCCCCCCCCCCCCCTCCCCACCCACACACACACACACACACCCCTCCCACACCCACTATGATCAGTAGTGACACTTGAGTTCAAACACCCACACACACCCTCCCCCCAAATCCACAGACTGGGAATCTAGATGTCTGCAGCATGTTCTGGGAAAACCCAACTTACCCCTCCAAATAATAAGAATCTTTAGTATTTTTAACTCTACAAAGCGGAATTAAAAACCCATGCGAGCAGTTAGGATTTGCTTCATGTTTTCATTATTAGAAAAACCTTTAAACCAAAAACTCCGATGAGGATCACAAATGTCCATAACACTACAGCGGTATTCTCTGAGGTGTAGGTCTAACAACGTGCACAGTCTGTGTAAAAATCAGATTTATGTTGTGTGTGTAGGGCCCCAAAAATGGCTCCCAGGGGTCCAACCTCATCCTCCTATTCCTCCAAGTCTTCCAAGCTCATGTGAACTGCATTATACATGTGAACCGTCCTTTTTTCCTCCAGTTCCTTTGACTTCTGTGATAATGCGGTTTTAAAGGCTTTCCCCTCATAAATTAACAATAAAAAAGTCCAATTGCATTATAATAAATTCAACGCTGAATTTCATACGACTTTAATTACACAACTAGGCTGCAGTTTCTCTTGATTTATTGAAAACCATGGCGTTTTCTTGGGAGCAGATTTTGATCATGAATTTTATTCATGTTATTATTATTATTATGCTGCAGTAAAAGTATCAGCTATGCAGTTTTCTCTGGGTCCTGTTCTCTTTTTTTAAAGCAGCAGCAACAAAGGTGGAGCTGCTGCCACATTCAATCATGCTACAACAAAGTTGAATGAAAGAGCCCACCTGTAAAAAATAATAAGAATAACCAGGTGCAAGAGAGTTTGGGAGCTTGAAATCCAATGCATTTGTGATTTAATGCTTTATGCAAACATGCAAAACAGAAATGCACAGCGGTATAATGTCGCAGCCTGCACGCAGAAAGACTGGGTTAGTCAGAGGCAACATCAGGGTCTCTTTTAGAGATCCTAAAATCAGCTCCTTGATGTTCCACATCACCCAGAACACTGCGCCCTCTCCTTTTCCGCTGGACTTTTATTATTTTAATCCTTTTACGAGCAAATCGGCGCAGAGCAGCGATGCTGAGGCGGGCTGGGAGACCCTTTCTGGAGCCGTGGAGCAGGTAAGGCTTCCTCACGAAGCACCGCTCCGTTTCTCGGACGGAAAAACGGACAAACGCGTTAAAACGCACAAACACACGCTGCAGCGAATAAACTGGTGTTTCCCCCCTTATGCGTTATCCCCCCCGGTTTTATTTATTTATTTTTTATTTTTTGCAACGCAAAGCTTCTCCCACAAAAAATAAACAAATAAACGTAAAGACGAAGCTTACCATTCTGGAGAGCATCTCAGCAGGCCTGTCCCGTTGATAATTCACCCCCAAATAGAGCCTTTATCTCTCTACTTCTCCCTTCTTTGCGGGTTTAGTAGTGAACCAGAGCAGGAGAGAGTATTTCCACTGTTCACGACGCGGTCACGGCGGAGAAATCCTCCTCTTCCTCAAGGTGCTGCTGCTGCCGCTGCGCTCACGCGGGCACATGGGAAACGCAGCCGTCCAAGACGCCCATTAACCAGCACAGCCCTGCCCGAAAATAATAACAACAATATCTAAATATACGCGAGGGAGGAAATCCTCTATGTGAGATAGCTCCTCCACTCAGCACGGAGTAGGGAGATAAAGGTGGCGAGCCCGGTGTGCCGATATGATGGGAATGGTTCAGCTGCGTCTCCCTCACGATTTACAATTACGAGTTTGGAGCGATCGAGGAGTGCGCGTCCGTGCGTGGTCGCCCCCTTCGGTTAAAGCTTCCACACATCCGCCCCGGCAGTTTCTGTCTCCCTCTCTCTCCCGGAATAGCTGATATAATCCTAAAAGGGGGGTTTAAAAAGTCCAAAGAGGTGACTTATATTATTAACCTTCAGCGCGTTTGACTTAGTGGCTTTAGAAGGGCTTTATTATTTTATTCTATTAGAAGATAACAATTAAACAAATTACTTATAAAGGGTCAAAATCTAATCTGAGCAATCAGAATAAAGGTGATAATTGAGTCTTCTTTAATTTTAAAACACATTATTTCTCTTTCATTTAGTTACTTTTATCCCAATTTCCACACTGATTTCTGCTTCAAATCCTAAAAACCATCCAAATTGAATCCCTTTTCACTTCCTGTTAAACAAATCATATTTCCTCTAAACTGCATGAAATTGTTTACTAATCTGCTGAGATTAGTCCTGAAATGCTTTAATCGTTACTAAAATATTGACTCTGTAAGAGGATTGTGTGATTATTATTGTTTTAAATGATCTTTGTCAACATTAATCAATAAATAAATGCCAGGAGGAAATACAATCAACTTTTGTTTGTGAATTATTTCAATTATGTATGACGGATCAGCCACCTTCACAGGTAAACAAATGTGATGTTTGATGAGTTTCCTTATTTAATCTGACACAAACAAAGCTTAGACTAAATTAGATCCCAGTCTTGAAGTGCAGCAGCCACCCTTGTATTTTTGTTGCAGATCTTTGTGCAGATCACTTTAGGTTAACGAGGAGCCCATCTGGCTTTTGTGGGGTCAGATTCAGATCCTAAATCCACTGCTATGTACTCGTCTCAAACTCCCAGTTTCTTGGGGTAAAAAAGGCCGGTCAAGAGTTCTCAGCCCTGGAAGTGTGTTTGGTCACCCAGAGAACAAGAGCGGGGCCATGTGTGGCCTTTAATTCACCACATTGTCTGCCAAAAAGCTAATCTTAGCCAGGCTCGGAGCCTCGCTGCTCACTGGCTGAGTGAAAAGTTAAATATGCTTTCAAATGTAAAACCTGAGACTGGCCCAGTATTGTCGGTTGTGCCATTGTGGGAATGAGACTTGCCGTTGACCCAGGCAACAAGTGGAAAGGGGCCCAGTTGAGTTTGAGTAGCTGCATTCAGGCTAATGTTTGCAGGTGGTGGGCTGTAATTCAATGGCTACACACCAATTTTCATGCCACACAATGTTTGAAAAATAAAGTGATGGCTCGCTGTGGTGGTCCATGCTCGGCCGTCAATCAGAATTTACAGCAAACAGCACATTATATGTGGAAACTCCCCTTTTAATGTGACCTTCAAAATAAAGAAGGGATTTTCATCTACATTTGATGAATACCTTCCATTTTCTTCTATAAACGTCGTAGTTAAACTATTTTAAACTCACCACTAATGCCACAGAATTCACTATTTAAATGAAAATGTTGATTATAAAGCTTCCGTGGAACGGTACCACATCACAGACAAACAGCGAGCCGATGTGCAGAGAGGAAGGAAGTTGACGTTTTCTCTGGGTTTGTGAAAATCGTACAGAATTTTTTAAGCAAGTATATGACTTAGATGTCCTGATCCACCATCAATATCAAATTAATAATGTTTTCTCTGCATGAATATTGCAAGTATAAAAAGTAACTGTTAGCTAGTTTACCATCTGTGAAACATAATAGGTCAGGTAAATAAATTAAAATTTGTTTATAGTGCCCCCTATAGGACAAAACGTGTATTTTTAACTCTGAGTAGCAATTAAATAAAACATAAGTAAAATACTATCTTAATGAAGACACTGAGCCCCAACTATAGGATTAAAAAGATATGCAGACACACACACACACACACACACACACACACACACACACACACACACTACAAACTGTAGCATCCTATAAAATGTTATTTGAAAAGTCACAACTGAAATGCAAAAATTACACTTTTAGAAATAAAATTTCAAACTTTTGACATCATTCCCTGATGAACGCAAATTTAAAAGAGAAAGGTGCGATTATTAGAAGTTGGATGTTGCTAAAAGTTGTGGAATATTATCTTAATCATCATAGAAAGAACCTGAAATGGGAGAAAGAGAGATTAGCTCTGACTGATGGAGGTGTCATTGGACCGACTGTAGAATGGAGTTCCCTCATCCTGTCACAACTCTCACCCCTAAAGTTTCCATAGATTTGTAGCATAAATGTAACTTTGTCACCTTTACACCTCGGTCACATTGGTGTTACATCAGAAATATGACTAAAATGTGATTGGCAGCGTGTTTAACCCCAGAGTTGTATGGAGTGTTGGGCAAGATAATGTAATCATTTATAGTTACTAATTACTTCTTCAAAAAAAAAACTAACAGTTACAATATTATAAAAGTAACCAGGAAGAATAACTGTTTTGTTATTTTTTTCATTAAATCATCCAAGAAAAATTTACATGAACTATAAACAGAAAACACTATTTTAAACTATTAAAATGTCAGATATGACACTAGACCCCATCCCATCCATCCATTGTCTGAACCCGCTATGCCCACGTGGGTTGGGGGGGGGGGGGGTCATCTCTAGCAGTCAGTGGGCAATCAGGTGGGGTACAGAGAGCCAGTTCATTGCAGGGCAACGCAGAGACACACACACACACACCTAAGGAAAATTTAGACGGATCAATCAATCTAACAGTCATGTTTTTGGACTGTGGGAGGAAGCCGGAGTACCCGGAGAGAACCCACGCATGCACAGGGAGAACATGCAAACTCCATGCAAAAGAGCCCAGGCTGGGAAGCGAACCCAGGACCTTCTTGCTACAAGGCAACAGCTCTAACCACTGCACCACTGAGCAGCCCAACACTAGACCCTAAAATAAATATTTTAATAAAATTTATAATTGCAAATGGATTTAGTTTTACCAGTAGAACAGGGGTGGATCTACATGGGATTGCATCATGAGATAAAATTACTGACAACTGATGTAGAAAAGCACTTTGTTCCTGGGCAAATATTACATTTCATATAGATTCTTGCATTTTAACTCTGAAGAGAAATAATGCTGGTATTTATTTTTCCGTAAACTATGCATAATTGCACATTGTATTAGCATTCCACTACTGAAAATCTAGAGACAGTAGATATGACTAGTAGAGTGACTTCACAGATATCTATGAATAAAGGTCCTTAAAAATGATGCTAGAACAAACAAATATGACCAAAGACTTAAATTTGCTGACTTTGGTCAGACCCAAAAGAAGTTTTGACACTTGGTTAGTTCTAGGAACACCTGAGTGCCCAAGACATTTTCTGACAGACTCTGTTACAGCTGGACTAAAAGATCAGGAACACTAACTGGTTCCAGTTGGATGACTAGAGGACGATCTAGGAAGTTTGCAGATCATGTAGAGGAGTAAACAGTCTGACGTCTGAGAGGTAAGCAGGTGAGCAGATCTTTTATGGGAAATGCTACAGTCGCATTGAGAAGGGTACAGCTAAAGACCGTAAAGCAGATCTACGCCTGCAGCAGTCAGTGCATCTACATGTGAATAAGTGGATCTAACATAATAAACTGGGAGCCTTTATCCTAGTTTACATGTATGTTAGAAAAGCAAATTCATTCCACTCCAGTACACTGAGTAAACCCACTGAGTGAATCTGCTCTACGGTTTCTGATTGTCCCCGCCTCCATCTTCTTCTTCATTTAATTGCCCGTGATGCTCTTGGACGTAAGCATCTGTCCCTTTAGCTCGGGGTCAGATGGGGACAGTTTCAACATACCTCACTGCTGCATTATAGCAACGCACTGCATTTTCCCATCGGTAAAAGAAACAGCGTTATAATGATGGAGAAAGTAATTAATCTGATTACACGTTACTAAAAAAATAATAATAATTTCTGTTAGTAAAGTTGTTGGGCAAGGGTTGTTCCTATGGCTGGTTGTATGTAAATTACTGTGAAATGTGAATTTTATGGTAATGTGAAGAATTTTCTTCGAAAGACAGAAGTTATCTATTTTGAAACTGTAACCTCACTTTCATCAAAACAAATCTCCATTTCTCCATACTGAGGTCATTCAAAAAGCCATCTAAAGCAGGTAAATTACTAATTTTTGTAATTTCTGCACAGAAACTGGGTTAAAAAGAACTTTAAATGATAAAAACCTAAAACACAGAAGTATCCAGAACAAATGTCCTCCCATTACTGCTGCAGCTTCTGTTCTTCATCTCCAGATGGAGATAAGATCACCTGTTCGCTGCAGCAACATAGTGCATGGTTGTCTGCTTCCATAATCACCTCGTTATTTGCTGAACATCTGGAACGAGACAGAATGTGCTAAAATTATTTTGTTCCATTAAAAAAACAGGATTTTTTGAGTGTTTCATATTTATTTATTTATTTATTTATTTATTTATTTATTTATTTTCAGATTCTGGTCTGTTTGGACTTTCAGGTTTAATCTGTTGGATTTCCCTCTCTAGCAGCACATTCCTGTAATATTTAAGCAAACAACATGTTGGCTTTAGAAGTAAAGCTTGACGCTGTGACTCAAATTAAATGCTCCATAAAACATCTAATTAGTGGATCTTTGGCCACGCTTTACCACACCTCCATGTCCCCCGCCTTCTTTTCCCTTTTAACCCATCAGGACCAGCAATGCTTGCTGCTCTGCGACTTCAGCAGAGCACATCTAAGGAAATAACTGAAAAACAAGAATTGAATCTTTATGATAAAAGGAAGGTTTTTAATTGCATTGTTTATGATGAAGGTTCCTCTAATTCTAGTTATTTTTTCACCACACGCTGAGAGGGAAACAGCAGCAAAACAAACCCGTGCAACAACTACATTTGAAACCAATTAAGATAAATTTTATTAAATGCCACCTGAACACGACTCATGACTCTGACTTTTTACATATTCATCCTCATTTTAGTAATATTTACCAAAAGGATTAGCTCCAGTTCGACCTCCCTGAAGATTCAGAAGAAAATAAATGTGTCTACTTTATTGAATTGAGCCCTAAATTATTAATAAATAATAATTTTTTGGATTAAACCCTATTGGAAAATGCAAATTCATTGTGCATATTC